CCAGAATATGCAAGAACAAGCTAGAGAGTTTATTGATGCTAAATTTTTTAAAAAGGAACACAGAACGCAAACATATATCAGTAATCTTGTACGTGACAGACAAGACATGTATTGCATTCCTTTACGTTATGTAACTCAACATATGTCGCTCCGATATGCAAATATTTAAAGATCAAATCGAGAAAAATCAACGAGGTTTTTGCTAGAAATGTAACATTCTTTATACCTGGGATCCCTTTCTCTTTGGTAATTCATACTATGAATAAAATATAGTTAAGAGAATATATGCATCGTGTTCTTGCAAATAAATAGATAAATAAATAAAAAATCAGCTAATTAAAATGTGCGAAGTTCCACTCTGTAGTAGTAACCCTCAATTAGGTACAGATGTTAGTCCATCGTAATTTGCATAACGAAATCGTAACTTGCAATCATAAACGCATCCTGGAAAGTCAGAGGCGCCCATCGGTAAATAAAGTTTTTTTCAAATGTTGACGGCGCCAACCCGTTGCTACAGCATTTTTTCCAAAGCTGTCAGTAATACTCAATTGTAAGTAAAGTTTATGATGATGAGAATTCATCAGTTATATACTCAACTGTTAGCAAGTTTTCGATTCTCCCTGATCCTAAAAAAAATAAATATAATGTATTACACACATACATATAGTTTCATATGCTGTGTTAAGCTCATATACTGTACTGTAAATACAAAAAAACATGCACACGCATCGTTATCATAAAAAGTGAGCATTTTATTGACGCAAGACACTGCATGCCCTCATCAGTATCATCACCATCACCATCATGATCATCATCATTATTACTATTGTCAGAAGAACATTTCTGCCATCCAGGTGGTATCTTATCCAGTGGAGGTGGAGGTTACGAAGATGATGATAATGACGATGATGATATGCTGAACGAATCAGTTTTGTACATCCTGAAGAATGAGCTTCGGTATTTTGGCTCTTCCTGATTCATCTCATTTAATTTTCTTTTCATTCTTTAACTTTTTTAAGTTTCATCAAACACACACCGGGAAAAGATAATTGATGTTAGCTCAACGTGTAAGAAAAAAATCGTTATAATGAGTGTTTGTCGTGTCGAAATTGATATCGTTGATAGAGTATGGCTTGTGTATATCAGAAAATGTAATTGCAAGAAGCAGTTGGCAAACATTTTCGTTCATATCCCGTCGTTCTCTCTCTCTCTCATTCGGCCTGCCTCGAGATAAAAGCATCCTCTGTTCGCAGCTGTTTCCCTGCACGAATATTGTATTCTCCCTCACGCTAGGAAACCGTTCACGAGCCCGGGCCAGACTGAACAAGGAAATGAATTGACTTTGAACTCTTTCATTAGGACTTAATTCGAGCGTGCAAAAGCCCACATGAATATAAAACAGACCGTTTGTTAAGATTTCAGATATAGTTGAGGGTCGCATGTCATACACAGCCGATATAATGACCTGGCTGTTAAGCGACAGATAGTTTTAAATAATCAGATCAGTCTTATACACACACACTAAACATTCAGGAAAGTTTGCGTTCTAAATGTACTCCTTGTAAAGATTGTGCCAAAGGACATTGTTGCTTATGTAGATATTTAGCAACGATATTTTCTCTCGAGTAAAAATTGACATTTCAGTTCATTTTTCATGAGTTACCACACAGTTAAGACTCGCGTTATTTCGCAAAATTATAAGCTGTAATCAAGAGAATGACAAAGAATATTGCAGTGGTAAATGTAAAATATCATTTCATTGTTGATATAATACATTTCTTTCATTTATCGCATTATCAGTGTGTACGTGTTGCAACGAGGAGGTTCCAAGTTGTTCGAGAGAGGTCCTCGGGTTTCATAGTTAGACGAATTCTCTACGGAAATTGTCTGCTGAACGGAAACAAAAGACAAATTCGACAGAATGGTGACGTCACAATGGATTTTTTTCCAAATGTATTTTTGTTTTTTTCCATGGCTACACATGTTTTGATGCAAAAGAAAAGAAAATCCTCCGATGTCACTTCAGCTGGTCTTCTGGCTGGGCATCATCAAAGGCCACAGTCCCATAGAGTGACTTTGCACTTCACCCTGCAACACACTCACTAGGAATAGTCGTATACTTTTTTTTAGATAATTCAAGTTTACAGGTTGAATGTCGCATTTTCTTGTTATACTCTTAATACATTTTCTATAAATAAATGAGGATGCATTTCATGTTAAATTGTCATCGGCCAGAAGCAGTGGCTCTCTAATTATGCTATCATTAATGCATTTAATTGGTAAAACGTAACCCTTGATTAGTTATGATGATATAAAGTTTTAAGGGAATATAACCACAAAATAGAGTTTGGTAGTTGTGAGGCTGTAGTTGTGGAAGTTGTGTTTATGTTAGAGGTGAAGTACTTGTGGACGTTCTTGGTGGTTACTTTCACTCGAGGTAAGGGCCAAAATACCAAGTCGCCTTCTCAAAGTGCCACCTCAGCATCCATACAACCGAACAACCAGGCCTCTGTCTAGATGACCTGGCACCTCTAGGTCTAAAATTCTTG